GCTGCTCCGTCCCGCGTGGCTTGCGTCCGGCTGGAGATGCCCAGGGTCTCGGTGGCGCACCCGCTCATCCGCACCCAAGTTTGGAAGGTGCTCTGAGCAGCCATTCTCGGGCTCCAACCAAGACACCCTCTCGCCCGCCCCAATCCTTGCCGAGGGCCGGAATCCAGCCGTTCTCAGAAGGGGTCGAATCCCCTCGCGTCTCGTCCCTCATGGCCAGCCCTGTGCTGCTGGCTCTCTGCTTCGCCCTGGTCACGGCTCGGGGCTGGGGGTCGAGCACCAGCCCCACAGGGACGAGCGAGCCCCCAGACGGGCAGACGGTGGCGCCCCCGGAGGAGGAGACCCTGCAGAACGAGGCGGACAACCAGGAGAACGTCTTGTCCCAGGTAGGATGCTGTCCCATGTCTTCTCCGATGGTGGCGGGAGTCCCAAGATGGTGTCCGTTGAAGCGGGGATTTGGGCATTGGGAGCAACCTAAGGGAACCACATTTGCTTTTCGTTTGTCAGAATATTTTCTTACATGGTGGGACTTGAGTGCTCCTCTCAAAATCATGGGTTCTTTCAAGGTTGGGGAATCAGCAGGCAGATGGAAAGACCAACCACACAGCACCCTGAGAGGAAAAAATCAAAGGAAAAAAATCCTCGTGATTAAAGGGTTTGTGAAAAGTATTTTTGTCTGTGCGGCTGTTTGTCAGGATTGGAATGAGAAAACGTGTTTTCGCTATGAGGCAGATGGTGTGACCCACGGAGAGATAGGTCTGGGCGCCGGGTGAGACACCAGCCAGAAGCAGGGACCCGGACAGAACAGCAATGGTGTGGTGAATGTGAGGTGCCCCAAAGCAGGTGGTTTGACCGCTGAGATCATAGAATGGGAAGGTCCCTCTAGTCTGGCAGACAGACCACCAAGGCAGACCATGTTACAGATGGTGGTGATGGGCTCTGTAATTGTGTGTTTACAAAGTATCTCCCTTGTTTTATCTGACTCAGTCCTCAAGACACCTTTATACCCATTCTGTTGATAAGGGCAGGAGCCCTGGTGGCATAGTGGTTACAGGTTAGGCCGCTAACCTCAAGGTTAGCTATTTGGAAACCATCAGTCACTACCAGGCAAGTGGGGGAGGGGGGACTGTCTTTCTACTCAAGCAGTCTCGGAAACCCACAGGGCCAGTTCTACCCTATCCTAAAGGGTCACTCAGTAAAGAATATCAGTGAAGGGCAGAGGACTCCTGGTAGCATAGTGGGTTGTGCAGCTAACCTCAAGGTCAGCAGTTTGAAGCCACCAGCTGCTCTGCAGGACAAAAATGAGGCTTTCTACTTGCCCTCAAGATTTATAGTCTCAAACCAAAAAGAAAAAAAGAAACGCACAAAGGGCAGCTGCATTCTGAGCTACAGACTCACGAGGCGTCCGAATCAACATGATGGCAGTGGTGGGCAGAGCAGGGTTTCTGATCATCTCCAGCCCAGATCTTGTGACACTAAGGGGAATTGTCTCTGGAGAGTTGATCTCATGCTCTTAAGAGCAGGCGTGAAGCTGGTTCCAGGATTCTAAGGAGGAAAGCTAGCCAAGATCTATAGCTCTGCCTGCATCTCCATTGAGCCCTTGGGCTGAGCCTTGTCTCCCTGCAGAGGGAATGGTCAGCTACACTTTAGGATTTAGTGGACACTGGACTCCTCACCCCTCCTTTGATAATAATGCTAATGTATGCCCAATAACCACCCATCACCTCTCACTGATTCCCTAAATCCACAAAAGATACAAACCATTCCATTGGGCCCTCCGGAGTCACATCCACAAAAGCTTTCCTGAAACCCGAGCCTTCTGAAAGGAAAGAATCCACGCAGGATCTCCCTCCAAGCAGGGCTGTGTAGGAATCCAGGCTGAGCTTCAGGGAGCAGACAGCCAGGATTTACTGTCGGCCCTTAATGAGCCGCCACGTTAAGTCACCCTGAACTACAGCTCCTTCTTCCACGGATCCGTTCTGTAGTTGACAACAGACCTAAACAAATATTAGCATTCGACGAAACTCACCCTTTGCAAGGAAAGCATCACAAGCTTTCTTCTCTTCACAACAGCATCCCAGGCACGGTTCCCCTCAAAAAGCTCGCTGCCTGCCTGCATCCTTCCTCAAATGAAGGAACTGCACACACACACCCTCCCCCCGCCCCGTGCCTAGAAGGACCCGGGCTAGGGGTATGTAGGGTTTGTTGGAGAGAAGCCTTTCCACCAGCCAGAGCCCAAGGCAGGGACTCCAGGAGGCCTGCTGTGGTGTGTTTTCCTGCCTGGGGAGGCTGGCAGGGGAAAGATCTCAGAAGGAAATGTTTAGCATTGTAGAAGACACAAGCACAGCCGATTTGTTTTCCTGGGTTTGGGTTCAGAAGCTGTTCCTGGGTCCAAACAAACCTTTCACTGAGTAAATGTTCCTGCCTTTGGGCCAGTTTCTCACCTTCCCACTCATTTTCTCCATCCCCTCATCACATCTCTAAATTCAACCCATCCTTGCAGAGCCAGGTCTCACACTACTTCCGACATGAGGTCTTCCCTCTGCCCGTTTGAGCTCCCCCTCACTTTAGCTTTGCCTCCCTGGGCACCTACCACTCTCTACTTGTGTGCGTCCAACGTTGGACTTGCCTGAAGGATGTCCTTTCCGGCCCATCTCTTCCTGTCTTGTGGAACCCCTAGTACAGTCCTGGCCCATAGATGGAGCTCAGTGAAGGGTAGATAAACGAATGAGGATAGAAGCAGGACTTCCCTTTTGAAAATCAACTTTCCAGTTCCTCCTTCAACGCTTGCTCCTTTTTTTTCCTTTTTAAATTGAAACCTGGATTCTAGCAAAGGCAAGGGCTACTGGAAGGGATGATGAGTCTCATCTGGTTTTTTCCTTTAAATGATGAAAGGTTAAGGCCCTGGGAGAAAGACACAGCTTTCCAAGACAAACCAAGAGAGCTGAACTCTGAATGCCTTCAAGGAAATGCCGGAGTCAGCAAATTGCATGGCGATGACCTGTTCCCTCCATAGTTCAGAGTTGGCCGAGGTCTCTGGCTAGTGCAGGACGTTTGACATTTACAGGGAGCACAGTCTTCAGAAGGCTGACTGACGCCTGTGTCTGTATCTGCAACCCTTTGTCTGTCTCTCTGTTCAGCTGCTCGGGGACTATGACAAGGTCAAGGCTGTGTCAGAGGGCTCAGACTGTCAGTGCAAGTGTGTGGTGAGACCCCTGGGCCGAGACGCCTGCCAGAGGATCAACGCGGGGACTTCCAGGAAGGAAGACTTCTACACCGTGGAGACCATCACCTCGGGCTCCTCCTGCAAGTGTGCCTGTGTCGCTCCCCCGTCTGCCCTCAATCCCTGTGAGGGAGACTTCAGGCTGCAGAAGCTGCGGGAAGCAGACAGCCAGGACTTGAAGGTAGGCTGGTGTGGGGGGCACTGCCGGGGTAAGGCAGCCCTTCCCATGAGCTCAGCGTGCAGGAGTCCAGCCAGGGCATTGAAGGAAGTGAGAAGACCTTAAAAGAGACCAGTCCCTGGTGCCTAGAGTCTTGTGTGTGGATCTGAGGCAGATGCTCAAACTGGTCATTGTCAGTTCTGCATCTGAGGGGGATGCTGAGACAAAAGTGTGCCTGCCTCTCCTCACGGAGCTGGGGAGATCAGGCCTGTGAGCAGCTGCCAGACCCAGCCAGCCAAGGGAACTCGGTGTTCTTTCCAAGAGAAGAGCTCCTCGCGTGCACCCTGGAGAGGGAGGAACTTTTGGACCTCCACACTTGAGCTGGGGTGACCCAGGTGGACTGAGGCCTGCTCTAGATCCAGTCACCAAGCTGTGATAGACTCCAGAGGGTGGAGAATCTCCGCCTCCCCCTTCCCTCCTTCCCCTGGGCAACCCCATAGGTTAGCTTAGGGCTTCATAACATCCAGCATGGACCCCTTCACTTGCACTCTGGCGTCATAAAGTGAGCTTGCTCTTTAAGTCCAACTGAGAACTCCTGCTGAAGTTATTTCATTTGTTTGACCTCGGTTCCCTTGAATAAAATACGGGAATAATAACATCTACCTTATGGGGTTGTTTGGAGAATCAGTAAGACGACAACTGTTGGGGACTTGGGACAACTGTTGACATGTCCTTGTTGCTGTTGCTAGGCGCCGGACAGCCGGTCCGACTCCCAGTGACCCTACAGCACAGAGAGGAGCTGCCCCAGGGGCTCTTCCTGGCAGTCTTTCTCGTGTGGAACCAGCAGGCGGATGGAACTGCCGACCTTTTGGTCGCAGCTGAGCACTTAACCATTGTGCCACTAGGGTTCCTTGACAAAGAGGGCTCAGTAGACACCAATTGCATGAATGAATGTTCCTGGAGGTGCCAGTGCTGCCCCTGCTACCTGGTGCGCCCTGAGTGCCTGCCTGGTAGCCACTACAATGCCTTTGTACGATGATGGCCCAGGACTGAGCCCTATCACTCAGAGTGGCAGCTCTGCCAGGAGGCTGGTTCCAGTCACCCACTCATAGGATCGAACTCTTCGGAGCTTCTGGAACAAGAGCAGGCAAAATTTTCCTTTAGGTGGCAGATCATCATCATTGTACAATCGCATCCACCTTCCCGGACTCTTCCCCAGACTTTGGCTATCTCCCTCCGGTGAGGACGGGTCACAGCATGGGAATCTTCATCTGCAAGTAATGCTGGCCAATGCACAGGAGCAGAGGGTTTCAAAATGCCTCGCCAGGGAGGCTCTGTTTGAGCATCTCCCATCTGCCCCCTTGGCCTGCACTCAGAATGCCCTGCATGCCCCGAGCATCAGCCACCTTCCTCCCAGGGACTCTGTATGGGAAGGAGGGACAGCATGGGAAAAACTGAGAAAGTCCAAGTCTGACAGCTTGGTATATGACCCTGAGTCGGAGCCTCAGGTCTCCCTTTGCCCCAGGGTCATTGCAGCTATGACTACTGAGGAGCAGCCTTTGACTTTCAGCGGACAAGGAAGCTGCGTGTTTCAGAAGCATCTCCTCCAGGTACTGCTGCTGACCCGCCCCTTTGTTGAGTCTGCAGAGACTAATTATTCCAGGCCGGGTGGACGCGCAGGCCCTGCGTTCAAGAGATCCCAGTCCAGTAGCAAAGAGGCACGGGTGCAACTCACAGATTTCACAGAAGAGCGGTGAACACTTTGGCAGGCGTCCTGGTGGCACAATGGGGAAGCACTTGGCTTCTAACAGAAAAGTTTGCAAGTTGAGCCCACTCAGCAGCCCTGTGGGCGAAAAGCCCGCCAATCTGTTTCCTGTAAAAATGGCAGTTTCGAAAACCCCAGGGGCCATTCTGCTCTGTCCACGGGATCATGCTGAGCTAGAATCAACTCCGCGACCCCCAACAACAACCACAGCATGGGGAAGATGTCTAGACTTCAGAGTTTGCTTGTTCTCGGAGAGGCCTCCCACGAGCTTACCCAACGACTGCAGCAGCAGAAGGCAGCTGCACCACTGTGTAACTGCCCACACAAATGCCAGTTTCTCAGAGCCAGCCTCTCCACGGCTGGCTCGTGGCCTCCCTGTGGAGCCACCAGACAGGGAGCTCTGAAAGGAAAGTCCTCTCCCTGCCCCAGCCTCCACCTAACTCACTCTCTGCCTTGTTCCATAGCTCTCCACCATCATGGACATGCTGGAAGGCGCTTTCTATGGCCTGGACCTCTTGAAGCTGCATTCAGTCACCACCAAGCTGGTGGGGCGGGTGGATAAGTTGGAGGAGGTAAGGAAGAGTCTGGATTTCTGTATCCTTGTCAGGCCCCAAAGTGGATCTAACTTCTCGCGATATTAAGTTCACCCTTGAGAGACTTAACTCACTTTATTCATTGGAAAGGAAATAGGAGACATAAAATATTCACTCAAGAATCATGCCAAATTAGTTGTTGAGAATCCATGAAATACAAATACCATATATATGTGTATGTGTATGTGTATGTATGGAGCCTTGGTGGTATAGTGGGTTATGTGTTAGGCTGCTAACCACAGGTCACAATTCAAAACCACCAGCCTTTCTATAGGAGAAAGACAAGGTTTTCTACTCCCATAAAGAGCTGCAGTCTCAGAAACCCACAGGGGCAGTTCTACCCTGTCCTATAGGGTCACTATGAGCCAGAATTCACTCAACAGCAGTGAGAGTTTGTACGTGTATATGTGTATACACACTATATATAAGGAATATATTTCTTTTTTCACTTTGACTTCCAGGAAACTCAGTGTGAAATGAAATGACAAAGTTCAATAATTAACATCTTACCGCTGGTATGAGGGTGGAGTCATGTTCTTCCTGGGTATCTAGTTGCCCAGTTCTTGTTCTGGTTTTAATTCCAACTGTTCTGGTGCATGCCTTCGTGTGTGTGTGTGTGTGTGTGTGTGTGTGTGTGTGTGTGTGTGTGTGTAAGTACAAACTGTTACAAGTGCAAACAATCTGTGTAAATATAAATTACTATAATGCAAACACTCCTGTAACTACCACCCAGCCCAAGAAATAGAGCAACGTGAATACCCTCAGAGGGGCCCTCAAAGGAGCCCACAAGCCCTTTCCTGCCCGCCCGCCACCCCCAACCAAAAGAGTCACTAACCTGACTTTTGTATTAACTGTCTTTCTTGTTTTTCTTTAGATTTTTACTATCTCAGGGCATAGTCCTAAATCTAATCATTTCATCTAGTTTTGAAATGTGTAATAGCGGCACCTATGGAACATGCATGTGAGGTGGGGCGGGGTTACAGACATCTCGAATCTGCTTGGGAGTGAGGAGAGATGACTATTATTGCAGTGAGAGCCTTGTTTTTCTGAGTCGTTGGCAGGGTGCAGTCATACCACCTTTCTGTCACTCTTTATTAGTAAAGAGATTACAGTGTCCCTTCTCTGACAGGGTTCTGTTTTATGCAGGTTCCAGCTGGCGGCAAGGTTGACTGTGTTAGTAATTAATGCTGTCTCCTGGAAAAGGACTCAACCTTACCACCCTTGGCGGTGGTGATGGGCCAGGAAAGGAACTTTCCTGGATGAGATACCACTCTGTCCTGGTGGAGTCCCCGAGATAAGGACAGCTGGTGTCACCGTCTTCATTAGGGGTGTTGTGTAATAGTGGGACATAGACGTCATTATAGACATGACAGTCATGCTGATAGTAAGCTTTGTTGCTGTAACCCTTTAACATAGCGGTAAGAGCTAATTTAGTCACCAGAGAATCAATGATCATCATTTCTCCTTATTGGTAAGAGCCTTGTGGATTCCAGTTCCAGGGCTAATACGTGAAGCCATGGCTTGAGGAGATGTTGTTTCAAGTAGAAAAATTTTCTTTAGTCTTTAGAGTATTCCTATATGTGGTACATTAAATAATGGAATGACTATAAACCACTCAATATCCCTCATGAAGAAAAAAAACGGGGGGTGTTTAGAGTTCACCATGGAGGAGCTGAGGTTTCCTGATAGGTCATTAGTAGGTGTCTCACTTCCCTTGAGTCAGTCCTGATGATAGCGGCCCTATAGAGTTCTGAGACTGTAGCTCTTTACAGGAGTAGAAAGCCTCCTCTCGAGCCCACAGGCAGCTGATAATTTCAAACTGCTGACCTTGTGGTTAGCAGCTCACCAGGGCTCCTCTTCAGTAGGTGTAGAATGTGAAACAAAAATGGTAAGAGTCTCCACTTTGTGGCAAAAAGAGCACTAGCCTAGGAGTCAGGAGAAAAACAGCTTGGGACAGATCCCACCCGAGTCCAATTTTCTCCCCGTAAAATGGGAATTCCCGCTGAGATGGATTGACAGAGTAGCTGCAGCGATGAGCTCAAGCGTCACAACCCTTGTGAGGATGATGCAGGACCGGGTGTTTCATGCTGTTGTGCACAGGGTCAGCGTGAGCCTGACTCGATGGCACCTAACAACAACAACAACAAAGTAGGAATTGAGGCACCCTAAGGGCATGGTGATTAAACACTAACTGGAAGATTGGCACTGTGAACCTCTTAGCCAGTCCAAGGGGAAAGATGTGCCATTCTGCTTTGCTAAAGATTTACAACCTTGGAAACCTGACAGAGCAGTTCTGTTCTTAGAGGGTCGCCGTGAATTTGGATCAACTTCCTGGCAGCAGGTTTGGTTTAAAGTGGGAAGGTGTCCGTCTAGTGAGTAGGGTTGCTGAGGAGATACAAAACAAAACAAAGGCAAGCGCCAAACTCCAAGCCAACCTCACGTCCGTCAAGTGTGTTCCGACTCATAGCGACCCTATAAGACAGGTAGAACTACCCGTGTGGGCTTCCAAAATAATCTCGATGGGAGTAGAAAGCCTCCTCTTTTTCCCTTGGAGCAGCTGGTGGTTTCTAACTGCTGACCTTGTAGGAACACTCAGCACATAACAACTATGCCCCCAGATCTCCTTAAATGCAAATTAGTTGCTGTCAAATCGAATCTGATTCATGGGTAGTACTAGTATGTCAGAGTAATACTGAGCTCTCTCCCTAGTGTTTTCAATGGCTGATTTTTCAAAAGAAATTCTCTAGGCCTTTCTTCCAAGGTGTCTCTCAGTAGACTCAAGCCCCCACCCTTTTGGTAACAGCTGAACATATGAACTTCCCCCTTTAGGGAATCTCGCTGGGGTGAAAGGTGAGTTAACCATTATCAAAGTACTTGGAAACCGTTAACTAAAACAAGGCTTTTGGGTAATGACCAGGGACTAAGTGGGGCAAAATGTCTCATGTCGAGCAGAGATGTGTTGATGAAACCCTGCAGTTGTGACAATGAGTTACAGGACTCTCCTTCCACTCACAAACATGTTCCCAGCAAGCGAGCACCAGTTCCTTCTCCAACCACCCTAGAGGGCCTCCTCCAGAGGTGTCCTGATGTGTTTTCTGAATCTGACCATTTGCTCTGGCGTGGTTGGTAGGTTCACACCACTTCAGGTCTGATGAGAGAGCTCAGGGTTCTGGACCCCGGCTCTGCAAACAGGTCAAAAGGAAGATCCCTGAGAGAGCAGACCTGAGTTGAGTGAGTAGAATTGGCACCTTGAGTCTCCTTCTCCAGGGTCACCAGCCAAATGTGGGACTGGGAGTGGCCAACACCTTCCTAATACCAGTGGAGCGGAGCCTACCCACCCACTTTATGTGGACTTGGAACATCTCATGTTTGAAGCCACTTTCAGATCCTTTCAGATCAAAAGGGATCCAACAGTAGAAAATGCCTCTATTTCCCTTGGCTCCCCAAATACCTAAATTTGTGATGCCTTTTATCAGAAGATTGCATTTCTATAGCATCAAAGGGGAGACAGCCATCTCTTCTACCACCTGACCTTGGAAGCCATGTGATTGTCTTCTGGTGACCCCAGATCAGGCCCTCCGCCCCTGAGGAGGCCAGGGGTTGAGTGTTTCCTCCCTTGCCCACCAACTGAGCCTTTCCTGCTAACAAGAGATGGGCACGAGGGGGTGGAGGAGCGGCAGGATGGTATCTTGCAGTCACTGGGATTTTGCCAAAATAATCCCTTATATTTATATAGCATTTTACTTTTTTAAAAAAGCATTCCACAAAATGAAATTTTGTACAACAATATGTTTCTGCCATGTTGCAATGGGGGACTAAGTTTATTGATTTTTTTCTGCTGTCTAATATTTCATAGTGTAACTATACCAAAAATCAATTTATTCACTTCTCATTAGTGGGTTTTAGGGTGATCTCTATTATTATTAATTTTACTACTAGGAACAGGGCTTCCAGAAAACTCTTGTACATCTTCCCAGTGTGTGTGTGTGTCTGTGTACGTGTCTGTGTGTGTGTAGAGGGGGCATCAAAAATCGTGTGGAAAAATGGAATTAAAAGAAAATGAAAATTTCCTGTGGGGGGAAAAAAGCCCTCCACAAGCATTAACTGACTTGGTCCTATGGACAGGGCAGGTTGTGAGGTGCCAGAAAGTTTGGTGACTTGCCTGAGAGCTTAGTGCTGGGAACTGTAGGGCTGAGCTTGGGTATTTTAGTTCCTTGTCCCTATGATTTCCTTTGAATCATTGCTGTTGGCCTTGCGATCACTAGTTTTTCCACCAGAACCTAACACAGTAGCTCCTCCGAGGGTTTCTGGGCAGAATCATGGCTGTGTCCCATAAATCCAGCTCAGTAGGATCAAAGTCGACTTAGGGAAGGTCCCACCTAGGGAGACGTCCAGGCTCCTGTTACTCGGTCAGTGAGCGGTTTCCCCAATCCAGGCAACCCAAAGTGACAAGGTGGCTCTGTGGGTGACACCAGAGTCTTTAGGTCGGTCTCAGACTCTGGACCCCTGGAGCAGAGCACTGCTTCTCAGCTTGAGCCCCAGCCATTGTCTCCCTGTTTGTACCTGCTACTTCTGTCTGACTGTCTGGAGTTTGCAGTACTTTAAAAGGCAGAATGTAGGCACATAGATCTATTTCCCCATTCTCATATATAAATATCTTTGCATATGTACCTGTCTTTATCTAGACCTCTATAAATGTCCTGTGCCTCCCAACTCTTTCCTCTATTTCCCTTGACTTTCCTCCTGTCCCACTATCATGCTCAGTCCCCACCAGGGTTGGGCCTCCACTCAAGTACTCCCTCAATGCAAGAATACTTTCTTCTATTAAATTGGCATTCTATGATGCTCACCTTCCCGATACAACCGCTGAAGACAAAGCAGGTGAATAAGCAAATGTGGTGAAGAAAGCTGATGGTGCCTGGCTATCAAAAGATATAGCGCCTGGCGTCTTAAAAGCTTGAAGGTAAATAAGCGGCCAT